AATCTATATTTCTCATATATTTAATGGAAGAATTTTTTTTTTTTTGTGTAAAGATACTAAATATTTTAGTAGAAATACTGCGGATTTAAGCGGGTCCCAGTCAAATATTTCTTATTGATCTACATTTGATCTGACATAAATACTAAAAAATCAAAATATATATTGTTTCAAAATTATAACACATATATTTCAGCTACTAAATGTAATCATGTCAATAAATATATATAAACAAAGCATCCCTTAAAGCGTTATTCTTAATCACTGAAAAATCTTTCATTACGTTTCTGTAAACATTTTTTTTTTCTGGGCTTCTTGGACAACTTAAATATTTTATAAAGTTTCTTTCTTTTTCTTCCCGAGCAATTACCGTTATTAAAAAAAAATATATTAAAAAATATATTTATCAAAATATTGTTGTTTATATAATGTATTAATGTATTATGAAGAATACACATTTCCTTCCTCGAGTGATTTGAGCCAAATACTTAAGCAATCACAACGTGTACTCTTTTTAAATTATAAAGCATATACAGCTATTAAATTTAAGAACATATCAAGAAAAAAATATTTAAAAATTTTTTACTTCCTAAAATCATCGTTGGTCCGGTAACAGGCCTTCAAAGACTACTTGAAAATCATTTTATATGTTTTCTTTATTTCAGAGTGCTTAGCGTCATAAAAAAATATATAAAATTTAAAAATTGCCCCCTCCCATAACTGAATCCTGAATCACCTTTTGATTTAGACTATCAAAGTGTCAAATATTAAACTGAAGAAAAGTATATTTTTCCCCCGTGCTAATAATAATGAAGTGTGAGTTGCAGATAGGCATATTCAATTGAAAAAAAAAATCATCATTAAAATAATATTGTAATTTGTGCAGTTACCTCCCCTCAAGCCCCTTTCATTGCCAATGCTGCTACTTGAAATGTTGCTGTTATCTTCTTGTATTTTACTTGTTCTCTTAAGAATTTAGTAGGATTCCAAAGGTGGTATTTATGTTGTACATATACATAGACAATATTTCAGAATTCCTGTTTCTTATTTCTATTAATTATTTGTTGGTACTTTAAATAAAAACAGCGGTAGTTGTTGAAGTGAACAATTCTTTAGAACTGAACAATTCTTTAGGCCCGTTTTGCACTTTTTTGTGGAAAGTGAATTAGAGTGAGCCGTCAGATCTCTGATATGTAAGGCCTCGGGTAAAGTCGGCTGGAGTCGACTAATTAGAGTATTTTTGCATATGGATTAAAATATTTCAGAAATTAAAATATTTAATTCTTCTAAATTAAATATTTTCCCTATTCGAGGGATTAGGGAAAATGAATATTAACCGAGTAAGTAGGTTCAATAGGTTATGAGATTAATTAATATATGTTTTAATCCCATAGGTTCCGAGTTCGTATCTCACTCCGGGTCCAAATCTTTTTTTTAAAATTAAATTTATTTTATTTTTATTGGTTTTCGCTATTTTCCAAATTTAACAAATTAAATAGCGTGGCGCTCGTTAGACAGTTATTAATATTTAAGTGACTCTTGATTACTTTTTATATATATATTTTTTTTTGCGAACCCTGCCGTCTCCACTGATCATCCGGCAAGTTTGTTGCGGGAACGATTTTTCTAAATTAAGGCCGTAACAAATCCACTGATTTGAATAGATATTTCGATAACTAAAAAATAAAAATATGGTGCGCGCATTACACGACTTTCACTTACTACCCTCTTAGCAGAAATTAATATTTTGAGACAAAGACAAATATGTACATAAATTATTAGTTCGTTCTTCATTATTTCTCCAATCTCTTTATCTATTTTTTTATTATCAACTGATCAAAATTAGAAAGTAACTTATATATGTGTATATATATATATATATATATATATATATATATATTTTTTTTTTTTTTTCACCGAGACTATACAATTATTCTGTATTTTTATTTATGTATCTCTGAGGCTCCTTAGCCCACATTTCTGTCTTCTAGTATTATTCTAAAGGGACTCGTTCCATAATAAATAAAGTATTATTATTATTATATATAAGCGGTAACCAACCATTGGCTTAGCTTTCAGTGCTGGAAAGTCAGCATCAAGGGGATACACTCTGCTTGTGAATCATTCATGTTTCTTTATGTATAGATATGTCTGTATGTATGTTTATTTAATACTTATTTGAGACTGTCCCTTCCGGATCCTAATACGTATGAAATGATCTATATATCCGTCAATTATGTGTAAACAGGAAGAAAAAGCGGCTGAAGAAAGGAAGACCAACTCATATCTGATTTATATTCATTGCAAGGGAGCTAGGTTTATGGCGTTTTAAAAAGGTTTTTTTGTCGGTGTAACTGTAGGGAATTGAATTTAGCCTGAATCTTGGCTGGTCGTTTAAGCGAGATAGGAAACAATGAATATTTAACAACAGCTCTCAAAGATAAGTCTTACATGGTTTATTTTTAACGTCGTCGGGTCTAGTGCTTGATATATGTCGTCGTTCCAGTCTCATTATCGTTCGGTTATTTCTGGTAACTCAACGGAAATCGCCCAGAGCTACAAAGCTTTTCTTATATCTTAAAGCTATTTATGAATACTAAAACTTACGACGAACATTTCTGAGTCATGTTTTTATTTGAGGCCAAGCAAGGCTGAATTTTCCTGGACATCTAAGGATTTTAGTATCCTTCAACATATGTTGGAACCCGAGGACTAAGACATGCTTGAAAATTATTTAATTAACGTGGATAAAAGAAGACAATAGCTATTACTTTATGGAAGAGTCAGAGGAGGGAATAATTCAATCTCATGTTGCTGGAATACTCCATAAGCAGTCTTATAGGACCACTTCCATGTCTACCGATTCTGTAGGATTCAAGTTCAATGAAAATTCGGTCTAGATTCACGGATTATGGTCGTTTAGAGTCAGTATATGCACAAGGACAAACTTTTCGTTTTCAGAAACTGACTGTACATGAACCCAATCTCCGAACTGCTATTGGACATCCTGAAAAACCTTAATACAATCTGCGATTAAGATGTACGGTCGGTTGCATAGGCAGATCTACGGAGGGGCTCAAGCCCCACCCAAAATGGATAAATTATATTTCTTTCATTGGTCCACATTTGTTACTATGAGTGATCTAAGCAAAGTACTTAAATAATAACTATATATTATATCATGTCTGCCTGCTACAAAAAGACAAAGTGGAGGCTAGATGGTGGGGAAACCACTATAGACGGCTACACACTGTTCTACGCCGGGAGAAACGAAAAAAATGGGACAGTTGGCACTGGATTTATAGTTAATCCGGCAGCAAGGAAGTCTGTAATAAAGTTTACCACAGTTAATAAAAGGATAAGTGTGATGCGCGTAAGAGGTCATTGGTTTAATATCACGATTATTAACGTGAATGCACCAACCAAAGAAAAAGAGGATAAGATGAAGTACAATTTCTACGATTATTCTGCACAATGACATACATAAGTATATCTGGGTAAGTCCTAAAGAAGCGAAAAGCCAAATCGACCATGTGCTGATAGGCAAGAGGCATCAAAGCTTCATAAAAGTGATAAGGAGTTATAGTGGAGCAGACTGTGATTCGGACTATGCTCTGATTAGAATCAAACTCTGTCAGAGGCTGGAACGAATCCACTAAATTGGGGACCAAGTGGAAAGAAAGAGGTACGAAGTCCCTAATTTGATAAACCCTATAGTGCAAGCTGAATTTCAAATTGAGCTGAAAAATAAATTCGAACGCTTGAATGCGGAAGGCCTCACGGTTGACCAAGACTGGGAGGCACTAGAGTCAGGGCTAAAACAAACAGCTAAGGAAGTAATAGGGATTCCGGAAAACAGAAAAGTCAAGAAATGGTTCACAGAAGCATGCGAAAAGGCAGTACAGGAAAGAAGAACAAGTAAGAAGAAAAGTCCTCTGCTCAGCACAAACTGATCAAGCTATGCTGGACAAATGCACAGCCATCACGAAAAAGACAAACAAAATAATAAGAACAGCAAAAAGAGAATTCCTCAAGGAAAGATTACAAACTATTGAGGAAAATTGGCAGGCTGGAAATATATGTGAATTCTTCGCAGATATCAGGAAAGAAAGAGTAGGGTATAAAGAGAGAAATACACAAATGCGAGGGAAAGATGGCAAATTGACGGCATCAAAAGAAAGATCCTAAGCATCTGGAAAGAAACTTCCAGCAGTTGCTTATTCAAGGGCACTCCACAAACGAAGAAGCCATAGACCAAACTGAGGATATCGACCAACTTGAGATTGAAAAACCAGATATTCCGGATGTGGCAGGCTTAAAAGAAGAAATTCTCCAGGGATAGACAACTTACCACCAGTATTGTTGAAAGATGGGGGAGAACACCTCAGAGCCGAGCTGTTAGATCTAATCCAGAAGATATGAGAGAAGAAAAGGACACTAGAAGCCTGGATGTTATCACATAAAACATGGTTATATTTTACCATTTTGGGGAGGAAGGGGGGAGGGAGGGGGGCTTCAACCCGAAAGCCCTCCCTCCCCGTAGATCCGCCTGTGTATAACGGTAAGAGACATGAAAATGTTTGCAACCAGGAACCGTTTCTAAAAAAATTGAAATTATCTGAGCCACAAAAGAATGAAGTGTTAACATTCGTTCCTGACGAGCATGGACCTAATATGTACGGAACAGCTTTCAAAACCCATTGGCGTCATTCTTCATTAGATCGCCAGATTGTATGGATATTAACTCGTTTCTGGAAAGTATTAAGAACCTCTTAGCGGATAAAATTCGAGATTTACTACATCAAAATTGTGCATTAAAAGTAAATTTTCTATTAGAATGTACTTTTACAACCTCTATTGGTGATAAGACTGACAGAACTTTCAAAACACGAAACAAATGTGTATTTAAAAGTAGCGATCTTGGAAAATTTATTGAGAAAAGTTTCATCAAAATTATAACGGAAGCAGAGTACTGTTGTACTGTTTTAAGTATTCTATTTTAGCAAAATTTGTGAAAAAGAATGCTCATCGTGTCACTAAGTACGACAATTTAGAACATTTGTATGACTTTAATTGCGTTTCATCCCCAACTTCTCTCAACGAAATAAAGAAAATCGAAAAGATAAATGACATTTCTATCAATGTTTATGGTATGGATGAAAAAAAAAAGATATACCCTCTATAAGTCTGTAAAACGGAATTGAAAGACCATCTCGACCTTTTACTCCTGTCTGATAATCAAACTTTCCTCTATGTTTACATAATGAATTTTGAAAGGTTAGTAGGAAATCAAATTACTCAAAACGAACATAAAGTAACATTTTGTAAGCGCTGTTTTACAGATTTTGACAACCGGTATGGGAAACAATCACGTGATAAACTTGAAGAACATAAAATATATTGCTCTGAAAATAAACCGGTAAGAATTGAGCTACCGAAAGACCCCTTTATCAGATTCTCAAATGTGGAGCGACAAAGTAAAGTACCGTTTGTCATTTATGCTGACTTCGAATCATTATTAGTACCTATAAACGAGTCGTCAGTAAATATGACCAAATATCAGAGGCATGGTCCGATATCATTTTGTATATATGTAAAAGGAATTGAAGGAGTAGACATTCCGATAACCGGACCGTACGTTTATAGGGGAGCAAATGCCGCTTCTCACTTTATGGAATGTATTGTAAAAATAGCTAACAAAATACAAGAAATTTATATGATAAACAAAGCGAAGCGGATCTCATCAGAAGAAGAGGAAGATTGGTCTAAAACTAACACCTGCTACATGTGCCAAAACGTATTTAATGAAAACAATATAAAAGTTAGAGACCACTGTCACCTAACAGGAATTTACTTGGTTAGTTGACGGTAACTTAGTACCGTCTTGTAATAATTGTAATTTAAAACGTGTAAACCCCTCTTGTGTACCTGTTATAATGCATAACTTAAGCAATTATGACGCACATTTCAAAGTTAAGGAATTGGGAAATATTCCTAGAGATGTTGAGGTTGTAGCGGCAACAGATTCCCACCTCTTACTACAGGGACAACAAGTTCGACTTCCCGCTACCAGGCAGCGCTCTACAAGCTTGCCCGTGAAACATACCAAAATTGTATCTTTTATTTCTTATTTTTGTATCATAAAATACTTAAATTGTAAATTGAAATATGCATATTCATTGTAAATACTTTTTATTAATAAAGTTTAATGGCGATAACATATACTGACCAAAGCTCAAAATAACTGTTATAGTAACGGCTCTTGGTAGCCGGTTTAATCTTGGCGGAATGAATACCCCAGTCAAGCATCAAGTTGTCAGGTCCTCGGATCTCCACCCCTTCAGGGAGTAGACCTATATGCAGATGGTCAGTATATGTATCATATACGCTTTTGGTTTAACTAAGTCTGCTCTTCTTATTTCACATTATCATTTTACCTTTATCCTCATCTCTTATTCCATGTAAGTTGGACGCTGATCCGCCCGCTTGCAGTCCTATATATTGAGTCAGGAGATTGATCCCTCCGTCAATATCTCATCCTCCCACAAGTCCGGAGTTCGATCCCTCCGGTTGTAGTTACCATCCTTGCGGAGTGTTAAGCTTGATCTCTTGCACCGCAGGCCGAGAGTGATTGGGTGCGGATCCGCCTGTCACTCGAGGTCATCCATCTAATCACCTTCCTTCATCCATTCAGTCATCTCACCCTAAATACTGAACACGCAATGTCGAGGCCTTTTGATAACTGCATACTGCCTCTCTGCATTTAAATACCTCGACAAGGTTATACCAAATAACAAGGAAAAATATATATCCTTTACGAAACATGTTGGTAAGATAAAATTGAGATTCATAGATTCTTATAGATTCATGCCAAGAAACCTGGATTACCTCGTAAAATATCTATCAATGGATAAATTCAAGGAAACTCCAAAATATTACAGAGATGAAGAATTAACATTGGTTACAAGAAAAGGTGTGTCCCTTACGATTATATAGATAATGCAGAAAAATTAAATGAAACAGAGCTCCCACCCATTGAAGCTTTTTACAATAAATTATGCAATACTGCTATCAGCGTCGAAGATTATAAACATGCTCGAAACATATGGAAACAATTCAAATGTCAATCTTTAGGAGACTATGCAGATGTTTACGTTAAAACTGACGTTCTTCTACTTCGTGACGTCTTCGAATCTTTGTGCAATGTTATGATACAGACGCATAGACTTAATCCAGTTCATTATTTTACCGTTCCCGGTTTGACGTGGGGTGCGATGTTAAAATATACAAAAATGAACATAAAGCTGTTACAGGATTATGACATGATTTTAATGATAGAGTATGGAATTCGTGGAGGGTTGTGTCAGGTATTGCACCGGTATGCAGCAGTAAATAATAAATACATGGGTACCTTCAATTCAAACAGTTACGGAATGGACTTAATCCGTAACAACTATTAATATTAACTTTTATTTTATTTAATCATTTAATCATTCATTGACCTTTATCAAAGCCTAAAAGCACAAAGCTCTAGATAGCCAGCTCAAGCTATCTCTGATAGCTTAGAAATAGTTATCTAGAATGTATTGACTGGACAGAAGACACTTATCAAGACTTAGGAAACAATAACCGTTTTCAGCAAAAGATCACTTTCTCACAGACTTCATATCAATTTTAAAAGATAAGGATATCAATTCTTAATAGAAATAACTTCATTCACACCCTTCCTAGACCGTCCAGAATTGATTCACTCCCCCCCCCCTACTATTCCTGAGCATATAACCCCTATGATCCTCAGACCAAATCACTCATGCAATTGCATTCTTGAGTCATACTCTTCACTGTAGGAGACCTGGAGTGAACTGATGTAGTCAACTCATATATCCATAGTATATTATTCTGTATTTTAGATGCCATTTGTAACATTATGAATAAAAGCATTATTTATAAAGTCTCCACTGCCTCCGATTCGTTAACTAAACGAAGAATCCAGATACATAATTTATTTAGATGCAAACAATCTTTACGGCCAATCAATGAGTATGTATTTACCGCATGGAGGATTTTAGTGGGTTAAAAATTCGGAATCTATAAACATCTTCGATCTTGAGGACGAAGATGAAATTGGATATATTTTCGAAATCGATATAAGCTATCCTCAAGAACTGCGTCGTATTCATAATGATTTGCCCTTCCTACTGAAACAATTGTACCACCGGAAGCCAATTATAATTCAAAAAAATTAATAACCCATTTAATAAAATTAATAAAAGAACCCGCTACGTTCTACATTATAAAAACTTGATGCAAGCCGTAAAACATGGATTAAAATTAGAAAAAATTCACCGTGCATTAAAGTTTAAACAATCACCATGGCTTCGCTGGTATATAGAATGCAGAGTTGAGAAAAGGAGCCTCCAAAGACTTTGAAAAGGATTTTTATAAGTTACTAAACAAAGCAGTTTTCGGTAAGACAATGAAAAATATCAGGGATCATCAAAATATTTAACCAGTAATTGACATGAAAAAGTTAATGAAACTCATTGCTAAACCAAATTTTACACAATCTACAATGAGAATATAGCAGCAGTGCATATGGGAAAATATAAAGTCATATTTAACAAACCTATATATATTGTTATGAGCATTTTAGATTTATCTAAAACTGTTATGTACCAATTTCATTATGACATTATGTTACAAAAATATTCCGGTAATACCTTAAAAATGATGTATACCGATACCAATTCCTTTATTTATAGAGTTTTAACGTAGGATGTCTATGAAGATATGAACAAAATGAATCAGTATTTTGATTTCTCAGATTTTCCTAGGACTCATCGCTGTTTCTCGGAAGAAACTAAAAAAAAAGTTGGGAAAATTTAAGGATGAACTAAATTCCAAGATAATTTTAAAATATGTTGAATTAAGAGCAAAAATGTATGCGATTATGACAGAAAGTGATGTAAAAAAGCATGCTAAGGGCGTAAAAGCGTTATCGTTAAAAAAATATATTAGTTTTGAAGATTACGAACAAGTGTTATTGAAAAATGAAATCATGTACACACCCCTGAGATTAATAAAGTTTCTCTTTCACCATTTGATGATAAAAGATACATATAAGAAGACGGGGTCAATACTTTGGCCTATGTACATTATAAATTAATTGAGGTAAAAAAAAAAAAATAGAATATTTTGTAGTCTGTGAAGTTTTTGTGAAAAAGAAAATAATAATAAAAAAAAAAAATATCCTAGACAGTTGCTAAAGTTAGAAGTGTGAATGGAGGTCCCTGGCGAGGCTATAAACTCCCGTCAACCAATGTGTGTGTTTTTGGTCACTGGCGAGGCTATAAACGCCCGTAAACCACCCTCTCGATGCATCTTCACCTTGCCGTGGTGAGAGGGCTTAAAGCAGTAGGCTGAACTAAGATCAGTAAAATATACAGATTTTTATATAATATGTTTGTACATATAAAACCAAAATGATTTTTTTTTTAAATTCTTTTAAAAAATACACTCGTGATATCCAAATTCGTTGAAAATTCTGCAATTATATCAAATAAAATGTAGTGTTAATCAATGTTTGATACATACTACTGTCCTGGTAGATTTCCAATCCCTGTGCCCCTTCAATAAAGAAAGATACTAACCACGTTGCTCCAAAGCCCTGTGCCAGAACCGGCCTTTCCTATCTACTACTATCCTCCCACAAGTCCGGAGTTCGATCCCTCCGGTTGTAGTTACCATCCTTGCGGAGTGTTAAGCTTGATCTCTTGCACCGCAGGCCGAGAGTGATTGGGTGCGGATCCGCCTGTCACTCGAGGTCATCCATCTAATCACCTTCCTTCATCCATTCAGTCATCTCACCCTAAATACTGAACACGCAATGTCGAGGCCTTTTGATAACTGCATACTGCCTCTCTGCATTTAAATACCTCGACAAGGTTATACCAAATAACAAGGAAAAATATATATCCTTTACGAAACATGTTGGTAAGATAAAATTGAGATTCATAGATTCTTATAGATTCATGCCAAGAAACCTGGATTACCTCGTAAAATATCTATCAATGGATAAATTCAAGGAAACTCCAAAATATTACAGAGATGAAGAATTAACATTGGTTACAAGAAAAGGTGTGTCCCTTACGATTATATAGATAATGCAGAAAAATTAAATGAAACAGAGCTCCCACCCATTGAAGCTTTTTACAATAAATTATGCAATACTGCTATCAGCGTCGAAGATTATAAACATGCTCGAAACATATGGAAACAATTCAAATGTCAATCTTTAGGAGACTATGCAGATGTTTACGTTAAAACTGACGTTCTTCTACTTCGTGACGTCTTCGAATCTTTGTGCAATGTTATGATACAGACGCATAGACTTAATCCAGTTCATTATTTTACCGTTCCCGGTTTGACGTGGGGTGCGATGTTAAAATATACAAAAATGAACATAAAGCTGTTACAGGATTATGACATGATTTTAATGATAGAGTATGGAATTCGTGGAGGGTTGTGTCAGGTATTGCACCGGTATGCAGCAGTAAATAATAAATACATGGGTACCTTCAATTCAAACAGTTACGGAATGGACTTAATCCGTAACAACTATTAATATTAACTTTTATTTTATTTAATCATTTAATCATTCATTGACCTTTATCAAAGCCTAAAAGCACAAAGCTCTAGATAGCCAGCTCAAGCTATCTCTGATAGCTTAGAAATAGTTATCTAGAATGTATTGACTGGACAGAAGACACTTATCAAGACTTAGGAAACAATAACCGTTTTCAGCAAAAGATCACTTTCTCACAGACTTCATATCAATTTTAAAAGATAAGGATATCAATTCTTAAT